GTACAAGAGAGCGGCTGGCTCTAGGGCGCTCTCTCGCTGGCTTTTGGGCAAGAGAGCGAAAAGCCAGTTGGCTTTTGGGCAAGAGAGCGAAAAGCCAGTTGAAAAGCCAGCACCAAAAAATCGTGTGCAAAAAAATCGTATGGCGTTATCCATCTTCATATTCTAATGTCTTTGGTTGAAGCGTATGCAGATGCTTGCATGTCAAGTAATGTGCCAAGATCATACATACGCATCGACGTCGCTCATTATATGCAAAATTGGGCCGTTTTTTAAAAACGAAAAAAAGTTTGTAAAAAGTTTCTATTTATTTGGAATTGGATTGAAAGGATGTGAGTCAGCTAAATGCTCTTGTTGACTCAGCTGAAAACCACCAAGCAACAAAGGTCGACGATTCTGGTAAACTATATTAGTTTAGGAATGAAAAAACTCTTGAAGTCAAAGACGCTGATGTAGCTGTTCGACTCTTCACAAAACTTGTAGATGTGATTACTTTCAACCAATAAAAAATATAATATAGGTCGTATGTCTTACTTGTTTCCTAAAACAAATGAAAACTGCTAGCTAAGCACAGGAGTAAGCGAGAGGCAAATAGGTAGCTAACGCCTTTAGCCGGGGACTTTTTTCCACCTCGGTACTCAGTTGAGCTAAGGAAACAGTAAGGGAATACCAAAAAATACTAGATTTAGCGGATGAATTCCGATGAACGCCTTTAGCCGCGGCCCAAAGAATAAAAAATGTAATCTTTGGCTGTGTTTGTGCAGAATCGGTGTGCCAATAACATATTATAAATGGAAGGAAAACCACAAAAACCAATGGAAAACTGCCTGTAGGAGTTGCTGCAATACATATTGCCATTCCAATAGCGAATTTAAAGCTTGCGACCCAGGTCGGCTCAACGTTTTGTAATATTTTAAAATTGGCGCCAGTTAATTTGTTTGCTGAGAGTAAGACCGTGCTACATGCATTGCGGATGAACTCCGAAAACTTCGGTCACACTAAAAGATTAATATTTTTCGACTAGTAATAGTCTATTTACACTGAAGTGGAGTTATGGAGTTATGGGGTTATTGACATAACCCTGTTTTTTTTACATAGGATGTGTATAGGCAACTAGATGTGGGCAAAAGTAGGGTACTTTTAGGGTCTTTGGTATTTCGGAGTATTTTTTTGTATATTTCGGTATATTTTTTATTTATTTCCTATCGTTGAAGGTCCATCCCTAGTCAAATGAACAACACAAACAACAAACACTAGATGTCATCACTCGATATTTGGAGTTAACCCAGTGGAAACACTTTTTTGGAGTAATCGGGTTATTGGCTCACTCGATAGGTTACCCCACACAGTGTGACTAGACTATTAAACTCTTAGCCGAACTGAGTACTAGGCTTGAAGGCTTAAGCCTAGTACTCAGCACGACGAAAACTGCTAGCTAAGCATAGGAGTAAGCGAGAGGCAAACAGGTAGCTAACGCCTTTAGCCGGTGACTTTTTCCCACCTCGGTACTCAGTTGAGCTAAGGAAATGGTAAGAAAATACCAAAGAAAAAACTACATTTAGCGGATGAATTCCGATGAACGCCTTTAGCCGCCGACCAAAGAATAAAAAATTTGATCTTTGGCTGTGTATGTGCAGAAGCGGTGTGCCAATAACAATTTATAAATGGAAGGAAAACCAGAAAAACCAATGGCCAATGCCTGTAGGAGCTGCTGCAATACATATCGCCATTCCAACAGCGAATTGAGAGCTTGCGACCCAGGTCGGCTCAACGTATTGTAATATTTTAAAATTGGCGCCAGTTTATTTGTTTGTTGAGAGTAAGACCATGCTACATGCATTGCGGATGAACTCCGAAAACTTCGGTCTCACTAAAAGATTAATATTTTTCGACTAGTAAAACTCTTAGCTGAACTGAGTACTAGGCTTTAACTCGAAGTCAAGCTATTTTGAAGAGCTTAGCTAAGAGAGCCCAAAAGTATGCCGTACTTTTTTTCTTCAGGTTTTAGTGAACATTTTGCGCGAAAAAATTTGATTTTAGTGTGACTAACATCTAAAATCTACTTTTTACGTACACTAATCGATTATGGTATTTTCGAAATCTATATCTATCTATTTAATCAGGACTATGCAAATAAAAATGTAGCATACTTTTGTGATGACTTCAGAATATGTCAAATTAACATTAAACAAATCAAAAAAACAATATTTTTAAACAATTTTTTTACATAATTTGATTATATAAAACTTAAGAGGTAACAAGAAAAAAAATAACAATTTTTTTTAAATCGATTGTTTGATACACGTTGATGTGGGAGCCACCGAAAGTTGCAGTTCATAAATCTTAAACGACTTAATATTTTTTAGTGATGGTAATTTTTTTAGGTTGTTTTATCTCATACTTTATTTTTTTTCGAAAATAAAAGAAGTGCGTCTTCTAGTTATTTAAAAAAAAAAAAAAAACCGAAAAGTACGTAAAATTTTCCGACTTTGGTCTGTATTATCTATATCATATAAAATTCCAAGAAATTTTTCTTTTAGTTCGTTGGAAAGTTCCATCTTTTAAGAAAAAAATGCAAAAAACTGCATCCTTCTAACTGTCCTAGGAAAAAAATTACAGCCAGAAATTAACTTTCTGGCCCAGTGTGCAGAGTAGCGCTGAATGCGTTAGAAAATTGGAAAGGGTTGGGGCAAAAAAAAGACAAAAAAAACGCAACCTTTACCTTAACAATGAGAACTGCGATATTAATAATGTCTTTTCGCCAAAGTGTATTCCATTGCCCATTTTAAAAAATGGCAATGATTCTACTTTGGGGTTAGGTAATGTAGATAGCTCAACTTTTTCTTTTCGAAGCACTTGTGCCTTTGACAGCCTGTTTCATGTACTCTTGGCTGGAGTTGCAGACTATGCTCCGTTAAAGCAGTACATAAAGAAGAAAAGGAGTGAAAATGATTTTTTCGACACTGTTTTTAATGTGTCTGAATCCAAAGTTTACGCTCAGACCCACAAAAAACGAGCACAAATCATGCTCCGTTTTTTTAAAAAACAACCGAAAAATATTATTGAAAATGTGGATTGCAGCTGCAACATTGTTAGCCTGGCGAATTTTATTTTTAAAGCCACCCCATCGTTTAAAGAAATATCTGTTTGTCCGTCTGGATGCAAGCCCCGAATCATTGAGTTGCCGACGATAACTGTAACAGCACGGGAGCTCGGCGAAGGCCTTGGAAAAACCATCCAACAGCATGTGGCTCTAGAAGGAACTCGGTGTCGCCAAGATGACTGCAACGACATTAGCGTTAACACTATACATAACATAGGTAAATACAACAACATATTAGTTCAGTACAGATAAATGATAACAACTATATTTTAATATTTTTAGGTCATATTGTGCTAATAGGTGTTGATATTGACCATCCTTTGGCAATTTCAACCATACCCGAATTTTTCGAAAGCCCCAAGGACGGAGACCGGTATGGGTTAATCGGATTTGTAGATTTCGTTGGCCCTTCAGTTACGACCAGAATGCAAAATTTTGTTGCGCACTACAAAGCTTTTTCCCCAAGGAGCGCAAACTGGACGGTCTATGACGATGTGTTGGCTGTGGCTGCGTACCGACGGAGCCCCAATCTTCAGCAAAATATGATGCGGCGCACAGAGTGATTGTCCACCTGTGGCGGCGTTAGAAGTTCCTCGGAGTAGCGGTCTGTTGCCCAGGGTCCCAAATAAGAAGACGAAAGGTTCCAAAAATGTGCGTTGGATTTAATTAGGTTATGTAAAAAAGTATAAAAGATAAGAGCACAGAGGGTGCTTCTGAATGTATTGACTCTCGCTCGCAGACTAAATTGTCGGTTTTACATTTCATTTACCGAAGCTGCAGCTCTCCAAATTATGTATGTGCATATGACCAAATTAACTGTGATATGGTTCGATCTTTCGAACAAGACTACGAATAAAGGGCAAAGAAGAATGTCTGTAACTAGAGAGCTTACAGTGTGACGTCAGCTACACTGCAAGTTCTCGTGTTGACAATATGCAGTCCAAACATTCTCCCCCCTAATGATATTATTAGAATATTATTAACTGCTTCTTCAACGTCTTCGGTAGGTTGGAGGTTGGACGCTAAAAAGATAATGCAACTTAGAATTGTTGTGGAGGGTCAAGGTCACGATTTAACCAATTATCTTGTATGGGTAATGGGCACAATTTTGCTACTGGCCGTTTAATAATACCACTCTGAGACTGGAGTTTAACCACTCGAACCAAACCGTCTTGGCCGCAATGAGTTTCAGTAATTCGACCAAGAGCCCATAGATTAGACGGCAAACGTTCATCTTTAATGAGTACTAGATCGCCAGCCTGCAAGTTACGCCTATTTTCTAACCATTTCGGTCTCCGCTGCAAGCGTGATAGATAATCCGAGGACCAACGCTTCCAAAATTGCTGAACTAAGTGCTGACAGTTCCTCCATCTCTCGGTGGCACTTAGTTTATCGGCTTGTTCTGTTGGCATAGCGAGTAGAGCATCCCCAACTAAGAAATGGCCTGGAGTTAGGACCATCAAATCTTCCGGGTCATTGCTTAGCGGGCACAACGGACGAGAGTTTAAGCACGCTTCAATTTGAGCTAATACGGTGGCCAATTCCTCGTATGTGAGCGTACGATCACCAACTGTCCTTTTTAAGTGGTGTTTCATTGACTTAACGCCCGCCTCCCATAGACCTCCAAAATGTGGAGCGGAGGGAGGGTTAAAATGCCACGTAATCCCGTCATCTGTGAGTCTACCTAGAATCGTTTTTTCGATGTACAACTTGTATGCCAACTTGTCTGCTTGCAGCTTCCGATTTGCCCCGACGAAATTTGTGCCACAGTCGCTATAAATATGAACACATTTTCCACGTCGGCCAATGAATCGGTGAAGTGCTCCAAGAAATGCGTCCGATGTCAAATCCCCCACTGGTTCTAGGTGGATAGCCTTTGTTACAAGACATACAAAAACCGCTATATAGCCTTTAACCGAAGTCCGTCCTCTTCCTTTAGATGGCGATATGTTGAACGGTCCCGCGTAGTCAATCCCAACTGACGTAAAAGCCTTCTGTGGCCGAATCCTGGCCGGTGGAAGATTACCCATCTTTTGGCATGTAATATTAGGGTTAAATTTATAGCAAACAATACATTTATGGATTTCTCTTCGTACGGCGTTACGTCCGTTGATGATCCAACATTTTTTCCTGATATGATTGAGTGTAAGGGCCGCACCTCCATGTAAGGTACTGACATGGCTATAACGAATGACCAAGCTTGTAAATGAATGCTGATAAGGTAGAATGTATGGGTGTTTTTCCGCCATCGGCAGCAGTGCGTCCCTCAAGCGTCCTCCAAGGCGAATGATTCTTTCCGATTCATCAAAATAAGGATTGAGTGGTAACAGCGGACTTTGCTTATGTAACATTTTCCCTTCCGACAATAGTTTCCAATCGCCTGCAAAGCCTTCCTTTTGGCACAAACGAACCGCACACAAAAACCCTTCAGAAAGCTCGCTTACTGTGAGAGAATCTACTATTCGAGCAGATTTCGATATCTTGCAATTCCTTATAAATCGATGAACATATGCCAGGATGCGAATGAGCACTGTGTACGATGAAAACCTTCCTAATATATCGGATCCGTTCTCTTTCTCCACAGAAATAGCGTTGCAGTGCATCTGCTTCTGTTCGCTGGTGACTCGGATATCGGTTCCAGGATCTAGTTTTGTCGATGGCCACTCACAATCTTTAAATCTCAGCCACGGCGGTCCATTCCACCATAATTGGCACGATGCTAATTTAGTAACACTGATTCCCCGACTTAGAAGATCGGCTGGATTATCCTCAGATGCTATATGTCGCCATTGTTTCCCATCGCATAGCTCCAAAATTTTGCTGATGCGGTTGGCAACGAAAACCTTCCACCTCGCAGCACCTCCTTGGATCCAGCTCAAAACGATCATCGAATCTGACCAAAAGACAGTCTCTGCAAAATCAATATGAATAGTTAAGTGATCCTTTAAATACTTAAATATTTTCGCAGCAATGACTGCTGCACACAATTCCGCTCTTGGAATCGTAAGCTGCGGCTTGATAGGCGCTACCTTGCATTTCGCTAAAATTAGTTCCGTATGAAAGGCGTTCTCTCCTATCGGAATTCGTAAGTAAGCCGCCGCACCGTACGCGTATCCTGACGCGTCGCAGAATATGTGTAACTGTGGAGTTCCCTTTGACATTCCCCAAGCAATGTAGCGTGGTATATGAATTTTAGACAAGTTTGGCAGCTCCTGAATGAATTTCTGCCATTCCTTTTGAAGTTTCAATGGTACGTGGTCGTCCCAACTAAGTTTTGTCTTCCACAGGGCTTGCACCATTCGCTTTCCAACAACGGTGATTGGGCTCAACCATCCCATTGGGTCGAATAACCTCGCAATCGTCGAAAGCATCTTTCTCTTTGTTGGTGTACCTGCTGGGAGATCAAAATTAAGTTGAAATCGAAACTCATCTTCATTGGGTTTCCAATATAATCCTAATGCTCTAATCGTCTCGTCACCTTGAAAATTTAGAGGCTCTTTGGTTTCCCGATGTTCTAGAGGTATTCCTTCTAACAGTTGAGGACAGTTGCTGGCCCATTTTCGCAACTCAAAAGATCCGCTTCTCATCATTCCTCTAACTTGAGCTTGCAGTTCCTTTGCATCGGAAATACTATTTGCTCCAGATAAAACGTCGTCCACGTACATCTGACGTTTAAGTACATTGGCTGCCAGCGGGTAGTTATGCTCTTCATCTTCGGCTAACTGCTGCATAACTCTAATGGCCAGATACGGAGCACAGCTCGTGCCAAACATGACCGTGCAGCAGGCGTATTCCTCTACCTGGACAGTGTTGTCCGGTTTCCACAAAATTCTTTGAAATTGAGCATCCTTCTTATGTATATTAATACATCTATACATTTTTTCCACGTCCGCAAGGAATGCAAACCTTATTGCTCTCCAGTTTATCAGTATTGCTGGGAGCTCCATGTGTAGTTTGGGCCCTATTGCTAAGATTTCATTCAAAGATTTCCCATTGCTCGTCTTCATCGATCCGTCAAAGACGACGCGCACCTTGGTAGTCGTTGACGATTCCTTGATTACTGGGTGGTGAGGTAAATAACAATGTGTGGCTCCCCCCGGGTAGCCTGTTTCTTCCGTTTGCCCAGCTTGTGTAACCACCTTTTCCATTTGCCCCAACTCCAAATATTCCTTTATTGTTTTGGAATACACCTCCTTCAGGTTGGCATCGTTGCGTAAACGCTTGTCCAAATGGCACAACCGTTTCAAAGCACCTTGACGCGACGACCCAATTACTAACTGGGGATCCAAAGTGGATAGAAATGGCAATCGCACTTGATATTTCCCTGAAGGTAACCGCACATGTGTATTAACAAAATGTTCCTCACACCACAAATCTTCCTTCGACAAAACTTCTGCTGCCTCATCCAACTGCTCAAATTCCCAGAATCTGCGAAGTAATCCTTCTAATTCCGCAGATGATTCGTCCTTGATTACTGTCACCGTATGCACCGTGACCCTTGTGTTGGGTTCCTTAACTTTTCCTGATATAATAAATCCAAGTCGTGTGCTTTGAGCAATAGGCCAGCCATCCGGTCCGCGATGTATTTCACTTAGCATTAATTCATCATAGATATCACTCCCCAACAATATGTCCACACCTTGTGGAACAAAATAATTAGGATCAGCCAGGCAAAGCTGTTCAAATTGAGACCATTTTTCCACAGATAAGCGACGATTTGGCATGCGCTTACTCACCTTTGGTAACACATACGCAGTCACACTATACCTTGCCTGTGGCTCAAACCTTGATCCAAAACATAAACGAACGGAAGAAGACGCTTCGGTAACTCGTGCGTTGGCCAGTCCATTAACCTTAATGTATGCCTTTTGACGAGTTAGTCCCAACTTCTGAACTACGTTTTCCGATACAAACGAAGCTTGCGATCCTTGGTCCAGAAATGCTCGGAACTGTAGTATGAACCCTTCTGCGGACTGGATCCGAACTAGCGCTGTTGGCAATAGCACTTCATAACTAGTCCCAGTTGCACTCGAAGTCCCGCTAATTGCGTTGGAAGTAACTTGTTGAACCTGCTCATTTGGCTCTTTAGTCAGCCGAACCCGATCCAAATGTATGAGCGTGTGATGCCGATCTGCGCAAATCGAACAATTGTTTTTAAGTTTACATCTTCGTGAGTTATGGTTATTCCCCAAACAGTTGAAGCACAAACGTTGCTTCATAACAGCTTCCCTCCGTGCTGTTAGATGCATGCTTTCGAAAACCTTGCAATCTTGAACAGAATGACCGTTCTTGCAACATATGGCACATTTCTGCTCCGATCGGGCGACAAAGGAGGATTTCACATCTCGGCGCTTCTCAGACGATCCCGATGCTCCCTTTCGATCCTTGTTAGACAATGTTGTCCTCTCGCCACTGGCGGACGTAAGCATAGTCCTGTATTGTCCATCGAGATGCGCGGATAATTGTTCGAATGTTGGTAACTCCTGTGAAGTAGCCAGGGATTTTTCCCAGTCCAACCGCAGCTCCGCAGGTAGTTTCTTCGTCACCAAGTAAACTATGACATGACTTTGATCGAAAAGGTTAACGCCAACCTTTTCCAATGATTTAATACAAGAACGACAAGTTTGTAAAAACCCCTTAAGCGAAACAGGGTCATCGCTCTGCACCATGGGCTGTTGCTCTAATACCTGCATATAATGTTGAAACAGAACACGCTTATTATCATATAAGTTTAATAACATTTTCCAAGCTACAGGATAATTTGTTTCGATCAGTGTTAGATGTTGAATATCTTTGATGGCTTCCCCTGACAAAGAATCTTTGAGGTAATGGAATCGATGTAGATCAGTGAGTCTAGGGCTATTATGAACTCGCGCTTCAAATATTTCCTTAAATGCCGGCCAATCTACAAATTCACCGCTAAATATAGGCAATTTAACCGTTGGAAGTTTAACCTCATCGATCGTGGTTTGGTCTGGTGCTATAAACCCTGACGATGGCGCGTTGCGATGCCCATCCTGCAAATCAAGATTGTTAATTCCTGTTGACGCAAGAAGTCGATCCTTAGTCTCATTTAGGTCAGTTCTAATCTGCGCCACACTATCAATATACGCTTCTTGGAACTTTCCTTCAAGGTCTGCCTCCATATAATCGTGCTGAACCAACTCGTCATCCGCACGCACCAATTTTCGATGGTTCTCTCGGAACTCCGTGCGAATATTGGCCAGAGATTCTAATCTAGTCTCCATATGTGCTTCCGACTTATTAGTGCCAGCTTTCCGAAAGTTCTCTAACATGCGGCGTACAGAATCAATCAAAGCTGATTGCTCCGCAATTAATTCCTCAAATGTCTCAGCCATGACCTTGACCCTCTTTCTCACAACAAAACACAGTGCACTAACCTTCTACAATAACCTCTTCGCGCTCCAGCGTAGTCCAAGTAGTGACCCACAGATATTCCACTCAGTCCAAGAGAAGTCTTCCCGGGTTTCGGCACCAAAATGTGTTGGCTGTGGCTGCGTACCGACGGAGCCCCAATCTTCAGCAAAATATGATGCGGCGCACAGAGTGATTGTCCACCTGTGGCGGCGTTAGAAGTTCCTCGGAGTAGCGGTCTGTTGCCCAGGGTCCCAAATAAGAAGACGAAAGGTTCCAAAAATGTGCGTTGGATTTAATTAGGTTATGTAAAAAAGTATAAAAGATAAGAGCACAGAGGGTGCTTCTGAATGTATTGACTCTCGCTCGCAGACTAAATTGTCGATTTTACATTTCATTTACCGAAGCTGCAGCTCTCCAAATTATGTATGTGCATATGACCAAATTAACTGTGATATGGTTCGATCTTTCGAACAAGACTACGAATAAAGGGCAAAGAAGAATGTCTGTAACTAGAGAGCTTACAGTGTGACGTCAGCTACACTGCAAGTTCTCGTGTTGACAATATGCAGTCCAAACAGACGATCTTCTAAAAAACCGTATACGGTAAAACCGCAAACCAAAATGAAAAGGCCAAACCGGAACTTTTAGTATATACAAAAATGTAAAATTTAACCATTTGAAAAATATATACCCCTACACACAAAAAAATTTGCTTGGTAAAATTGACCAACAAAGATAGTTACGTAACTATTAAAATAGTTACGTGTGTTTTGTTTTTGCTTTGGGTTTGTGTCTTTGCTAATGGTGTGTATTTTGTTGTTGTGGAATGACTATTTACTTAGTAGAATTGACAATTTTGCTGGTTGGGGCCTGTTCGACAATTATTACAGTTGATTTTACCAAGTTTTTTTTTTGTGTGTATAATATCTGAAATGTTTTCAGTAGTTTCTTAAGTGCATCAATATTAATGTTACAGGACTTCAACGCCAGCGATTTCTGTAGCAGCCCGAATAACTTTGTATATTCCTTATTCTTAGCTTAAAAGGGTACATATGTATGTACAATGCATTTATGGAAAGTATGTAAAAGATAGATAGTTAAAAGCTGTGTATTGGAAGGGGTATATTGATTTGGGCTTTATTTGTGTACACAAAAATGGTTATGAAACTTAAGTTTAACACATTGCAGTTCTAATGGTAGACGCTATTTATACTCAAGGCTTTATTTCTCCCTCTTTAAGAGTTGACACTTAAATCACATTAGCAGAACAACTATGTTTTTTTAAAAAATAAATCTAAAATTAAGAGCGACAAAATTTTTTCTTTCACGAATAATCTACGGATAAATAACGGCAAAATGTCAGCTAAAAACATTTCGAAAAAGTTAACATTTGAAAAGTTGTACTGCTAACTTGATATCAACTTAGCAGAACAACTATGTTTTTTTAAAAAATAAATCTTAAATTAAGGGGGGATTTACGTTCAGGGCTGTGAACCATTTCGGAGCTGAACCCCTCCGAACCGGAGTGGTTCACTTATTTTTAGATAACGAACCGAACCGTAAACCGGAGCGCCGAATTTTTTTATAATTGAACCGGAACCGAACCGGAACTTTTTTTTTTGATATTCGGTTCGGTTCACGAAAAATTTATATTGTGTGTTCGTGTTTTTTATTCAACATTGTGGGGGGCTTTCTGATCATATTAAAATAGAGTTTATTTACTAAGCGAAATAAAAATGCGCAAATATTTTGTCTATGCAATGACTGCATCTAACTCAAACAATCTAATCTAATCAATCTAATCATAAGTCTTGTAACTTTACTTATAAGTCTTAACGTTATGGTACATATTTCAATGAAAATACATGGAAATAAATGTTGACTTTATTATTTCATTTAAAAAAAAATTTATTTTTTTGAACCCTGGTTCGAGCCTGAACCCTGCTCCGGCTCATCATTGAACCGGTTCGCAAACCGGAACATTATCTGTCGATTAGGTTTCGACCCCGAACCGAACCCGTGCAAAAATAATATGGGTTCACAGCCCTGATAAAAATACTATTTTATGTGGTGGAAAAAGACAAGAAACAAGAGAGAACGCTGTAGTCGGGTTGGTGTCCCGACTATCTAATACCCGTCACTTAGCTAAAGGGAGTGTGAGGGAGATGGATATACATATACCATTTTGATTGCGCATAACTTTTTAATGAATGGTTCGATTTGAAAAATGTCTTCTACATTTCGATAGGTATAAATATACTCAACAAAATTGCATTAATACTTCTCGGAAATCTTTAAAGGTGTGGGCGTCGTTAGTGGCGATTGTGGGCGTTAGAGGAGGCGTGGCGCTCGGCTGAAATAAACTTGCGCTGCCTAGGAAGCCCAAGAATATGTGTGGGAAATCTCAACCTTCTAGCTTTTGTAGTTTCCGAGATCTCAGCGTTCATACAGACAGACAGACGGACAGACGGACATGGCTAGATCGACTCGGCTAGTGCCCCTGATCAAGAATATATGGGGTCGGAAACGCTTCCTTCTAGCTGTTACATACTTTTGCACGAATCTAATATACCCTTTTACTTTACGAGTAAAGGGTATAATAACTGCTTGGTCAAAAAGCACGATTTCCATATAAATTTCAATAAAAACGAAGCTGTTAGCTTAACAAGAATGTTCTCGAACACATCTTTTAGGTAAGTTGTGAACCGATAATCTCAATGCCAAAAACCCCAAGTTTGCAAGTTGAACCTTAAAAATAGGATTTTTTGTTGTTTTTGTTGAAAAACTAAGTGTTTTCGTTGAAAATATGTAATGTTTGTTTATGTTTTTGGAAGATATTAGCATTCTGTATAAGTAAAAGCAAAAAAAAAAAGGCGAATTTAACCCATTTTATTCATTTTTTTTGCATGTTTATTTTATGAAAGTAGGTGTCCGATTATGCGATGGAGCCACTGTATGTACATATATACCACCACACAATGTGTACATACATACATGTACATATATATGTACTCATGTATATGCATGTGCATATGACCCGCATGTACATACATATGTACATACAGTGGCTCCATCGCATAATCGGACACCTACTTTCATAAAATAAGCATGCAAAAAAAATGAATAAAATGGGTTAAATTCGTCGTTTTTTTGCTTTTACTTATATATAATGCTAATATCTTCCAAAAACATAAACAAAAATTACATATTTTCCACGAAAACACTTAGTTTTCCAACAAAAACAACAAAAAATCCGATTTTTAAGGTTCAACGAATAATCGGACACTCGCTAAATATGGTTATTTTTTATGGAACTTGCTGCAAACTTGGGGTTTTTGGCATTGAGATTACTTTGTAGTAGAAATTAAGAGAAGAAACCATCACTACACTGGAAAAAAAAGTTTAAATGGCTCCAAGGAAAGCCATTTTCTGTGAAACTTCGTCAGTTGATTAGAACACTCAATTTCGAACTGAAAACTGTACGGAAATTCACTGGATTGGTCGGAGAAGTCAAGTCTATTGTCCTGGACATTATAATGAGGTTCCGGGATACATTTTAAGATGACAATAGAGGCGGGAAAGGCCAATTCAAGATGTTAATGACGGCATAATTCCAAAGTACCTTAAGATTTTAAAGGATAACAAATATTTAAAAAATTATTTTTTAATGTTTCTTTCGTTGGTCTGAAAGTGCATTAAACAACCGACAAAATGATGTATCGTTTATAAAAATCGGTTCACAACTTACCTAAAAAATGGACCAAACTATAACCAAACCAATAACTGCTTGGTCAAAAAGCACGATTTCCATACAAATTTCAATAAAAACGAAGCTTTCAGCTTAACAAGAATGTTCTCGAACCCATCTTTTAGGTAAGTTGTGAACCGATTTTTATAAACGATACCTCATTTTGTTTGTTGTTTAATACACTTTCAGACCAACGAAAGAAACATTAAACAATAATTTTTTAAATATTTTTTATCCCTTAAAATCTTAAGGTACTTTGGAATTACGCCGTCATTAACATCTTGATTTGGCCTTCCCCGCCTCTATTCTCAAATTAAAATGTATTCCGGAACTATATAATAATGTCCTGGACAATGGACTTGACTTCTCCGACCAATGCAGTGAATTTCCGTACAGTTATCAGTTCGAAATTGAGTTTTCCAATCAACTGGCGAAGTTTCACAGAAAATGGCTTTCCTTGGAGTCATTTCAACTTTTTTTTCCAGTGTAGTGATGGTTTCTTCTCTTAATTTCTACTACAAAGTAATCTCAATGCCAAAAACCCCAAGTTTGCAGCAAGTTCCATAAAAAATAACCATATTTAGCGAGTGTCCGATTATTCGTTGAACCTTAAAAATCGGATTTTTTGTTGTTTTTGTTGGAAAACTAAGTGTTTTCGTGGAAAATATGTAATTTTTGTTTATTTTTTTGGAAGATATTAGCATTATGTATAAGTAAAAGCAAAAAAAACGACGAATTTAAACCATTTTATTCATTTTTTTTGCATGTTTATTTTATGAAAGTAGGTGTCCGATTATGCGATGGAGCCACTGTATGTAGCAAAGGCAGCAATTGCGCAGGCGAAGTCTGCTGTTGTTGCAATTGCTGGTATTCGAAATTTTATAGAACGCATTACCAACCTGTTGCTCTTAAATAATATTACTTTTCACACGCACAATTACGCAGATTATTCAAATAGTGTAATAGTGTCCGCGCTGACACTTTTAAAATGTTCAAGGTAAATTATTTTAAGAACCCTTCGGCAGCTTTTTCTTTTGATTGCGATCGCTTCATCGAATATACATACACGACTGAGCAAGGAAGAAACAGAAAGCAGAAAGGAAAACGAAAGCAGAGACGCGGCGCCGCGGTCGGTAAGCACCAGCTGTACGCTGTTGCTGGACGGAAAGTTGCGCTGGTGGAAAATAAATGGCGCATACATACATATCTATGGAACTTTTGATTTTTTTTATA